AATATAATGCAGTACACACATTCCTACTACCTGTAACATGAAGGATAGCCAAACGAAAGTAGCATTAACACTATTATTAATATGATAATGTTATGGAAATATCCTTCCTCCAAAGACAGTATTGAAAATGAAATGAAAAGAAAATGAGTAATGAAAATTAGATATATTTGGGAGGAAAGGGAAAATGTTTTCTTAATAAAGAGCTACAATGTACAGTAAATGGTCACAGGTACATGCAACTTGTTGAATAAGGTTACTTTTTAAAAAGTCATTAGTTAATTTTACCATTCAAATGCATTTCAGTGGCTGTGGCTTAGAGGTAGAGCTGGTCGCCCACAAATGGGAAGATCAATGGTTTGATCCCCCGGCTCCCCCAGTCTGCATGTCAAAGTGTCCTTGGGCAAGAAACTGAATCCCTAAATTGCTCCCGATGGTTGTGCCAGTGTGTGTGTATGATTGGTTTCTTTCAACTAATGAGCAATTGGCACCTTGCATGATAGCTTCTGCCATCAGTGTATGAATGTGATGTAGTATAAAAGCGCTTTGAGTGGAAAGATGTTATACAAGTACAGACCATTTACCATTATAATTTTAATTAGGTGATAAAAACTGGAATCTCTTTTTTTGTTTTTTTAAAGAAATCTGCATAGTTTTCATTTTAAATTCTATGTCTAGTAGGACGATGCCGGACGGATCTTTTCTCTTATTTCTCCTTTGTGGAATATACACTAGCAAAACATGAGATCACACAAGTTTGAAAATACCAAGTAATGGAACCCCTTATACTCACTCAAATCTAATAACACAAAGTCTTCTTATAAGTTTAAAATATTGATTATACTCAAAATACATCGAGAAAAAATAAAAAAAATTGATCGGAACAGTTATTAATAATTTTGGCTTCATGTCTATTTGGGTGCCTGAGCAGGGGGTAGAGTGACCTCTGGTGGTTGACCTTTCACATGGCAAGTATGTTGAAATGTTGAAACTAAAATCTAATAATAATCATACCAAATTGTTCACGTTATCTTAAAGTTATCTGGTATTATGCTTTTTGGCTTTTTTTCTCTCCTTTATAGAGTTATACGTTTTGTGTATGTAATAGGTTTGTAAGGTGAAAAAGCCCAAAGTCCAGCCCAAAGGGAGTTCCCATCTCCCACAGAAAACTCTGCTCTGAACTGCTTGAAAACAGCTCGTTTTTTGTCCAGTCGCTTCCCTTTCATCCCTGTGACAACACAGGGAAAAAAGCTCGAGAGCGGTTGGAACTGGGATATTTTGCAATTGAAACTTCCGACTTCCGACCTCAAAGCGTTCCAGGTGCATGGTGGTGCATGACGCCAAAAGTAAACAAAAACCATGGCTGACCGTGACAAGTGTACACACAGTTGCACCCTCAGCAGTGTTTTAGGTGTTAATTAAAAGGAGGGCAGTTTAACTGCAACAGCTGGCATGGGGTGGTGATGGCACATTGGATAAGATGCATGGCTTTGGCGTGGGAGACCTGGGTTCAACTCCCTGTGACCCACCAATGTGTCCCTGAGCAAGACACTTAGCCCCTAGTTGCTCCAGAGGTGTGCCTCTGACATGTATAGCAATTGTAAGTTGCTTTGGAAAAAACCGTCAGCTAAATGAATAGCATACGTTACTGGTTCTGTTTACCCCTCTTGCTACATCAGTTGGTAATCCTCAAGTCAGTCAGTGTTGTAGGTTACACTTCCTAATGTTTTGGCATTTTTAACAATAACTTTTATTCAGCGAAGAAGACTTTATGAGATTCTTTACTGTAGCCAGAAACCTAATAGGCTTAACTTTCTACATCAATGTACACACAGGACAGGTTTTACTATATGACCCTATGTAGTATTTTAATTTAAATTCATGCAAATATACTTTTTGTTGCCTTTTAGTTTATGGTTTACCATTTACAGTGTGTGCTTCCATGGGCGCTGACATTGTTTTGTGACGTAATTCAACTGCTACTCGTGAAGTTGGGGTACATATTTTTCTCCGAGTTCACAAGTAAGAAATCCGACATGAAGTGGCATTCCATGATAGTTTTTCTAGTTGGAGGTGGGAAATTTCCCAGTTCCGAGTTGCCTGGAACACAGCATAAATGTGCCTCATGTGACGCTCACCAAGCGGCTAATCCAACACACCCTCAGAAACACCAGTGGGAAAACAGTGAGCTGCAGCACACACCTCCTCTCCCTTCGAAACACTAGCTACCCTCCAGGCAGTCAGTGGACATAAAGTTGTTCCTGTGATGTAGAGACAGAGCTCAGTTAAATCTTTATGGATGAAAGATACTTTTGTTACAGATTAATAACTCACCACTCTGAAACTCTTGCTCTAGTCCATGTTGCCAAGCTGGTCGGCAACATGTACAGCTGAACCGAAGCCGTGTTTGCTTCTCACTGAACTGCCCTTCGCTGCTTCTGATTGGCTAGTAGTCCTTAACTAGGAACTGCGCATGTGCAACTCCCAACAAAGATCATTTAGAGGCAAGATGTATCACTCCATAGCTAAAACTAAGCCTTCCACACAGGGTTGAAAAGAGGAGCTGCAGCAATGTGCAGTATGACAAAAATATGGTGTTTTTTGAAAATGAAATCATGTAAACCTGTTCTGGTACAACCCCTAAATAGGATTTTGAACCCAAAAATGAGCATAATACCACCTCTTTAATATGAAGTTACAGTCACCAATATCTACTTACTTAGGCTTCATTCTCCCTAACAGCCATGGGTTACTATAGTTTTGTGTTTAGTTGTTATTTTTATTTCAGTTAACTAAAATGTTACACCTAGCTTTTGTTTTTAGTTTAGTTTTACTTAACTATAATAACCTTCCCAACACTTATTTAGGCATACTTTTATTTTAAATTTTTACGCTTCACTTCCTCTTCATGTCTGTCCATCTTTCGTTTGGAACAAAAAAAAAGGACTATCACATGATCACATGACTTCTGTTCATTCAAGCCAAAGGCGCGTTTTTAATGAGATGCAGAATTGAAAATACAAAAACAAAAAACTACCTATCGGCGGGCTTGCTCCAGCTTGGCTACTGTGTTCTGTCAACAATTTTTCAACTGTGCCACCTTCAAAATAAGAGTTCCCTTCCCTCTTTGCAGGTTGGCAGCCTCATCTAACTATAAAAAATGTATCAATCTTTAATTAAAATAATAAAGTTGAGTTATCATAAAGCATCATATCTAATTTCAAAATTCAACATGTAAATTCACAGTGGAATGGAAATAGATGGAATACCATCAAAAACTATAGTTATAAAAACTGACCAGCAGGTGTTGCATTGTGTCTGAAGTCTTCATCAGTAGGTCTACACAGTGTGGTTGACATGGCATCAAGGTGTTTTAGCCCCACCATAAACAACCATGTCCCAGATTATTAGCCTTCATTAATAATTTTAATTTTAAATTTTATTAATTATTTTATTTTATTTATGTATTTGTTCTTAGGCTTCAGGTGCCCTTCTTTAAAGCTGGCACAGTAGAAAAATAATTGACAGCAGTCACCAATCAGGAGCAAGCCGATCCACAGGTGGAATAACCTATAAAGTTCATTTTTTGACAGTCTATTTTGGTTTTGTACCTACAAACAAGATGAGAAGAATCTGATTTTCATTTCTACTAAACCATCAAAACATTCACCATCATTTTCACCTTCATTTTATCTACTTTCTCTCTCAACAATCTTAGTCACCGGAGCCTGGAGATTTAATTTCAGAAGATAATCATGACATGCAGAGCGTGTGTGATTTTGAAAATGACACTGTGTTGCTGCTCAGAAGGAACAGCTGCTGTAGAACTCTGGTGTACATTCTAGATGATGCTATTGAATTTCCACCACACCCCACAAAAGCAAGTGTCTGCTACTAATATGCCTCATTGGATAGACTGAAGAGAATCTATTAAAGTCATGATCATTAGATTACAATTAATATTATGATTGTGCATTTTCTAGACATGGTATGGCAGCTTTGCAAAGCTTTAGCACTGACAGAGAAATAACTGATGACTGATAATGAATTAGTTGTATTGTTTATCATATTCATTTTTATATAACCTGCCAATTCCTTTCTTGGCAATCTGATTAAACATTTGGCCAATAAAATGTCAGAAAGTACTGAATTACAATTCTGAGACTCAGAGGTCACGATGGAGACTCTGGAAATATTTGTTTAATATTTATTTAATATATTAAATTATATATTATTATAATTAGGGTAGAGTAAATTATAAAAACAACTTGTGTAATAGTATACTTCAACAGCACCACAAACTACACCCTCCAACACAATTCCAAATAATAGCTGCATAATGACAAAACATCAAACTGCTGTCATATTCTTTAATTATAATAAAATTATCCTGCTCAGAACTGCCGCTTCATAACATCATATTATTGTGACTTAATCTCAGATGTTTAGCAAAGTTTGCGGTGTTGCCACACAGCGTTATTGTTACCTTCACAGCTAAAATACAGGCCGATGTGACTGCTTTTACAGTCAGCCAGTCAGTATTCAGTCACGGGAAATGTAAAGGGCAGCAGCGGTTCACTTCAAAGAAGCTCAGGCAGCAGGAGAAGTAGATCCTATCAACCATCCTGGTGACAGTAAGAATCTTATGATAAAACACACACTCACTCCAAATGACTGAGTTTAGATATTGATCCTTTTATATGAGTATCCTTCAATCTATCTATCTATCTATCTATCTACATCCCCCACTCCTGAAACCTACATGTTTGTATAGATTCTGAAAAGGTCATTGAGTAGTAGGAGTTATTGATGCCATTCAAAGAACACTACAGTCTTGTATGGAACAGGTTTTTCTTCATTTTGAATATGAGTTCGGGCTGGCATTTGCAGGAAAAAGGAACAAAACCCACCTGAACCTGTTCATAAATGCACGACAGTCTCGTCAGTGTTGACCTTCGCAAAATCTGGTCATTAACTGAGGGTGTGTGTTGTTGGTGACTTACCATCTATCTGTAGCTGCACACATGCTGCCATCCTTCCATCTTATCACTGTGATGATGAAAATAACCAGCATACCACGTCTTCTCCTCCGTCTGTCCTCTGGAGTGTGAGAAGCTTGCATTTTCTCCCTCTTCCCATCAGCAGCTGTGCATCTGTCAGCATCCACTGATCTCTGGGCTGCTTAATGCAACGCTCTCCTCTGCCTCTCCTCACGCTCTCAGCCCGCTCTCTGTCCTCTCTGCTGTTACACACTTGTTTTTGTAACACACTTACATGTTCTCTCTCTCTCTCTCTCACACTCACGATTCACACTCTCAGGGTGCTTTCACACCTGCCTCATTTAGTTCATCTGAATCGCACTATCCTTGAAGAGGTGGAAGCTTTCAGGACGAGTGCTGTTCGCTCGTGATGTGAAAGCAAATCAACCAACAAGAAGATTTTAAAATAGCACAGATGTGATCTGAGCATTATTTCTAAAGCTAAACCAATAATAAATCCATCTGCTGACCGCAAAATGTCAGCGATCCAAGTCCATTAATAATTAGAGATAAGAAGCTTTGGCAATATTGTTCTTTTGACATTCATACTAATAAAGCAAACTGGGATAGGAGTCATGTGATCATTTCAGTATTTACCTACTTCCTCCCCAATCAGGCATGGTGGTTGTCAAGGCTAGAAACAGGTACATTCAGAATATATAGAGAAACTGTTGAGAAACTGTTGAGGTAAGAAAGTAAATATTTTGACCAAGACTATTTTGATTAGATTAAAATAGGCAACATGTGATGCATTTTTCCCTTGCTAATTTCAAAACCACTTTACTGACGCAGCTAGCTAAACAGTGGCACGTCGTCAAAATCAATGTAAAATAAAGTCAAACTTTATTGTTATCCTTCGCATTCGAGTATACAGCTGAACGAAATGTTGTTTCGTACAGACCATGGTGCATAAACAAAATAAGAATAGACAACAACAAATCATACATACATACAACAGTAGCAACACAGCCCTCAGACCATTCACCTGAGGCCTGTTTCAGAAAGCGGGTTTAGTGAAAACTCTGAGTAAGTTGAGCCCGAGATGAGGGAAACTCTGGGTTTTCGGTTTCAGAGAGCGAGATCAGATAAACTCTAGGTCTGTAACCCCGGCAACTTACGCTGTGAACCTAACCTGCTCAGGAGGAGGTTTACTTCAACTAACGCTGAGTTTCTCTCTGACTCGTCCCCTCCTGCGGAAAGCACATATTGGAACACAGTTACGTCTTCAGAAACATCGAAATCACGGTTAAATAGGCAATTCGTTTTTTTTTTACCCAAACATGATCTTGAACATGACCGCTTTTATGATCAATCTGTCATTGAGGTATGGACAATTTATCCTCAGCACAGAATAAAATCTATAAACTACACTGTCCTTTATGACACAGTGACTCTGTGGACATTAAGGCAGCTGTCAGGCTGGCAACAGTTGCACAAAAACACTTACTGTGCACTACAGTGCTGCAGTATACTGTTTAAACTAATGTGTATAAAACTGATCAATGAACAGTAACCTTTCATAATGTGGTCGCACAGATTAAACATTCCTATCGTAGTTATCTACTGGATATGATGTGAATATATATGTGAGTGAGGATGACTCTGGTGCAGCTGAAACAAATAAAAGTAAGTTTTTCATTATCTGCTGATAGTCTGAATGTGTTTTGACAGCATTTCATAAAATACGAAATGAGCCAGATTTTATTTATGTAACATAGACGTCTAAAACTTCACAGTTTGAACCTAGACACATTTTACATTGCAAAACAATCATTAATAGGCATAGACCTACTGAGTCAGACTGTCACTTTACAATCACAGGTCCATGAGTAGCCTAAACTATGTCTAATCTGTTCGATTATATATATATATATATATATATATATATATATATATATGATATTTTCATCTTCAGTTGCCACCGGCATTTAGTCCCGTCAGGTTCCAGCTGAATAAACAGGCCTGTAGCTATTTAAAATGAATAACAGGCAGTAGGAGAATTCCAGCACTTTATCAATCATTAAGGAAATTCCAGTCTGGTAAATGATGAATGAGCAACGCTGTATAAAATGTAATATTGTTAACGTATCGATCCTGCGTTTTTGAGCCAATCATGGTTGCCATGGTGAATCGTAGTATCAGAGCTCCATTGATGATGGGGTTTTTTCATCCCCACGCACACACTTCCATCAGGCTCAACATACTCAGAGTTGAGTGAACTTATTCCGATCGGCCTTTCTGAAACGGAAAACCTGGAGTTTGACAGCTCAGAGTTCGTCAACCCAGAGTTCAGGTTTACACTGCTTTCTGTATTATGTATGCTACTGCTTTCCAGACAGTTTAGTTACCTGTTTCTGCCTGTCTGAGCTATTCGCTTCTCGTCTGTTGTTGCCCACTACTAACCGTGTGTCTTTCTGTCTCATGAATCATCTCTGGAGATCAGCCCTGGAAACGCAGTCCCAGAACTCAACTCACTCTGCTCACGCCTCCCGTAAGACAGTGTGTGGCCCTCCGTTCTACAAGCCTGTCAGCCAGCCACCCTCTGGATCTTCCCCCACCTCTGGAACCCTACTCTAACCTGCCAGCACCCCCTTTGCACAACTCACTCTTTGTCAAATAAACCGTTAAAAGAATTACCACTTGTCCGATCTGCTTCTGGGTTCCCCTCTGAATCCTGACAAAATGAAAAAAAAATTCTGATGACCTAAATATTTACTTTTGAGTGAGAGACCGAGGATTTTGAGCAAGTTAAGGGCTTTTGCAGATAAACCACTGTGTTGTGCTGTTGGTTCAATATGTTTTGAGAAATCCACTTACTGTTTTGCAAATGTTAGGGATGATTTGAAAAATGTACCAAAGCGAGTGGGGAGTGCCCTAGGCAGTCTCTGGGCCCTCCAAGCCTGCACTCCAGGGTTACCAGCATTAATTTGTCAGCACTGTGAGCAGTGCTTGACGTGGTAAGTACGGAAATAAATGTAATCAGTCTCCACCGGTGCAGAGGGCAGAAAAGAGAACTGGAACATTGTGAGAAGTACCGGTGTGTAAGTCCTGGTACACCAACGACTGCGACTCTGATTAAGAATATACACACATTGACACACACACACGTGTTTTTTTGTTTCACAAAGATTGTATTTAATTAGATACATTGTAGTAGTAGTAGTAGTAGTGTTTATTTTGTATACTTTTTATTAAGTTTGTTCTAGTTGACAAATTTACATACACAAAGTGAGTTATAGCTGGTGAAGCTAAAAGTGTTACAACCATACCTGCATGTCCTGTTGTGCAATGTGGTCGATCTGCAGTTTAAAATTACTAGTCATGCTTTGATTATTTTTTCATGAGCTCTTTGCGATACAGATCAGAAGCATTAAAGTGCTGCATAAACTTCTGTCAGTCACTACAATTTGATTTCCCCAAGTGGGTCCTGAAGATGCAGGATGACGCATACACAATCCCCTTAAAAAGAAATTCCTTTAAAAATACATCTTAATGTGAGTACATCTTAGAGAGAGAGATAAGAAATAATAAATGCAAATTTTCAGTATTTAACCTGCCTCATTCTGACATGGACAGGAAGTAAAAATTTGACATTAAAGTGGTCATTTTATGCCTTTTGGCTTTTTCCTTCTCCTTTATGGAGTTATGCATTTTTTTTGTGCATGTATGGCAAAGATATGATGTTTTGGGGTACAACCCCTAAATAAAATGAAATGAGCATATTATGGCCTCTCTCAAACAAGAGAATAAAGTTGTAATTCCAGCTGTCTTTATGAGAAGAATGCATGATGTTACAAGAAAAACTGTAATATTTTTTAGATATTTTTAGATAAAGTCAGAAATTTTTATCACTTTATAGGCACAGGTCTTGTTATATATCACCATTAGCAGTAAAAAGAAATACATGTTTTCCACCAGGGCAGTAAAATGTGAAGTTTAGCTGCTGATCTGAGCTTCTCTGCTGTTACCATTTCATTACCAATAATATTCATCAGCTGTTTGTCTCAGGAAGGTAACGGTACATTTCTGTCCACGTAACAAAGCCATAACAGAGGCTGGAGAAGAACTACATGAAGTTACAATCCAACAACATATTTTTTCAAAGTTTAGCTGGCTGATTTGAGCTTCGATGCTGGAAGCTGCCGTTTTATTGCCAATTAGCGATCAGCTGATTCTCACCAGTAACATATAAAGCCAAAAACAGAGCGCTGGAGAGAGAGAGAGAGTAACTTTTATTGCCAATTAACGTTACTGATCAGCTGATTGTCTCGCTAACGTAACAGGTGTGACACCAAAATGTGTGACCTATCAGATTCTGTGACCCAAATGGGAAGCTTTGTTGACGATGTGAAGCGGTTGCAGTTTGGTTGGGTTTAGGCACTAAAAGTACTTGGTTAGGGTTAGGAAACATCATCACAGAATCTGATAGGTCACACATTTTGGTGTTACACCGGCAAAGCCAAACCACAGGCTGGAGAATAAGTAGGCAACATAAAATTAATCCATATTTCACACCACTGACAGAGGAAACATGGCTCTCTGTGATTATGGCCAGCTTCTCGCTAAAGCTATCAACCAACAGTTTTCATTTGCATCGCTAAAGTCTGACAAACAAAGTTAATTACCTGTCCAGCAGAAAACAGACAACTTCAGTAGCGCTTTGAAAACATCTGTCCCACATTAACTTTATAGCCTTCCATCTGGGAAAATCCGTGATTTCTGCCGTCAGCTGTCTGTCCCGACTGCATCTGACTGTCGGCTCTTGTGCTAAATAACACCTGTGTGCTCCTTCATATGTCCAAATGTCACTTCTCTTCTTATTTCTAATAAACCAGAAGACTACTCAGAGACTGTATATTACTATTATTATTATAATTCCTTCTTCTTCTTCTTTGTTCGTATTCAATGTAGTGACGGGCGTCTACACTACCGGAATTATACAAGCAGAAGAATGCTGATGACGAAACGCGCTCTGTAGCGCTGTTTGTTCGTTGACGGCTACTGTAGAAACATGACGACAAAATTCAAAATCTCCACAGCGGGGGGTGCCCACGGTTATGTAGATATAAATGTCTCATTCTAAGGTAATAAAAACATAATGGTTTATTATGTAAGGTCTTTACACACCACTGAAAACATAGTTATGGATCTTATATTTCATTTCTGTCAATAGAGCATCAGAAATATTAGACACTGGACCAGCAGCAACATACACACAGA